GTCTGGGATCATATGCCCGATGAACGACTGGCATGGGAAGGATTCTTTACTTTTACTTCCTATACGTCTTCTTCTTCTTCTTCACTTCCTCTTTTACCACTGTGGGTGTCGAGGGAGATATAAGGTTCTGTTTCTAGCTCTTCTGGCTGCCTCGACCATAGGCACATTGTGCTGTTGTAGAGTTTCTCTGATGTTATCCTTCCATCATGTTCTTGGTCTACCTCGTGCTCTACGTCCTTCTTCTCTTTCCATGTATGCTTTGTATGGTATGGTGTCACAAGGCATTCTCTCTAAGTAGGCAAACCATTTCACTTTCTGCCTTCGTATGTAATCCAGAATTGGTTCTGTGCCGACTTGTTCTCTTATGATCTCATTTCTGATCTTATCTCTTATGGTCACTCCTACAACCCTTCTCAGACATCTCATTTCCGTGGCTACTAATTTTCTTTTATGGTTTGTTGTGAGTGACCATGTCTGGCACTGGTAGCACAGAGTTGGAATAAATCCTATACAAGTAAAGTAAAGTAATGGACCCTTTTCCACGCCTTCAGGCGTATAGGGCTAGACTTATATTTTTATAGATCAATCGGCACAAGATGGGTAATGTGGTCAGCATCACGCTGGCCGCCTTAACTTCCCGGGACTGCACCCAGTACCCAGCCAAGGCTGGGTTGACCTGGGAGCCAAGGTCATTTTTGAAAAAAGTCTGGCTCCGCCAGGGAGCGAACCCACGACCTTCCGATCCGCTGGCGAGCGTCTAGCCGCTCCGCTATGACTTCCCATACAAGAACTGGTAAAACTCAAACTGTGTGCCTTTAGATGTGACACATGGCTTGCTTTCGATCCTCCCACTTGGCTCTGTTGCCTGCAACTTGCTCAATTTCTGAGGTGGCCCAGCATTTTTTGCCTCTCATAATAATGTTTCCTTTGGACCTACTCTTTTTTTCAGACCATTTTTTGGGGGGGGGGGGGGGGGGGGGGGGGGGGGGGGGGGGGTCCCATTTCAGTGCCTGTTTTGTAATTATTTGCTCATTTCGTCTCAGAGTGTGCCCAACATATATCCACCTTCTTTTGTCTTTTTGCAGTCGATACAGATATTTGTCCAAACATGATACAGATATTTGTCCAAACATGATACAGGTATGTGTCCAAACATACCTCTGATCTCCTCACACTTTGAATTCATCCCATTTTATGTTCATGATTTTTCTCAGACATTTATTATCAAATGCATTTAACTCATTCCATATTTTAGTATTAGTTGAGGTTTCAGACTCACTGCAACGGGTTACCCCATACTTCCTGTGCCAGTGAAAATCAAATGAAATGTACCTCACTGTCCCATTTGAAAAACTGATGAACAAACAATTGTCCCCTTCCATATCTTTCGTGGTTCTCCAACTTTCTTCATTGCACCGCACACTGCTTGGTTGTTATGTTAACCGGAATGGCGTTCTTTTCTGCGAGTTCCTATAGCTATGAAAAATGTTGTACAGGTAGCTGGCCTCAGGTACATGCCCTCCTCCTTTTAAATCCAGGCTTGGGACCTGCAAAGAGCAACACTTGCTTTGATATGATTCAACTCCAAAGAAAGGAAATCAAAGTCACAAATTTTAGAGCATGCATCTTTCATATAGCAGCATACAGATGTAAGTCGTGGACTATCTCACAATCCTCAAGGAGGAAAATAGGGGCAGTGTTTGAGCTGAAATGCTATAGACAGATTTTCAGAATATCGTAGACAAAGAAGATGAAAGGAAGATTGGCTAGTAAACAGCATTGTCTCAGAAACTTAGCCACATCAAGTGCCATGGTGGGTTGGAAAAAATTATAGCAGAAGACATGCTACCAGGAAAGGGAGGCAAGGGCCGACCAGAACAAAGACTGGCGCAAGATACAAGTCTTGGTCGAGGTTTCAACTTTACTGCAATCAGGTTATCCCATACTTGCCTCGTTTCTGTGCCAGTAAAAATCAAATCAGAAGTCCCCCACCAACTGGGGAAGAAACAATTAGTCCCGGCAGAATCCACAAGCATGTGCACACAGTCGCCACCACAAATGCAGTGTGTTGTTGATAGAAGTAGCAGGCACAACAAGTTGGCAACACACATGTAGAATTATTATATTATAACCAGTCCTGGCTACCGGCCATATTGATATCATGACACAACCACTGCACAAATAAAAGGCTTTCTACATGATAAAACGCAGCTCACAGGGCTGCAGCCAAGTACTAAACTCAGTAGCTCAGGCAGCAAAACCTTAAACTATCATCCATATGTGGAAACTGCATTAGCAAAGCGCTGCCAGAAGCATAAATAACAAAAAATAAGTGAGAGGATATAAGTGACATCTTGGATCAAAAATTGCACGAGGCGGGACAGCGGGTGAAAGACGTTTTTCCCCCCGGGCAGACCATGCTGGGAGCAACATGCTGCAAAGGACCTGTTATATGATGATGATTTCTAATTATAAAAAATTGCTTGAAGGGATGTTGCCCCTGTGTTATTGGGATCTCATGTGGAAAGAAGAGAATAGTAATGCTATACCCTACGATGAATGTCATAGGAAATCACAGAACGAGTTGGCATATGACTGTCGTACCTCATGCCACAGAAAATTTTAGCTGCATAATCCTACCAATCATACATGTGTGGTTTTCTAGGTCTCAACAGCGAAGCGACTAGAAGGAAAATGTTATCTGATACCCTCTCTAGTGTAATTGTTACCTGCTAATGCTTACACACGCAAATTTATCATGCTTTAGCACTATATATGAGGTAAGATGGCCAGTTTCCTTCCTCATTATCTTTCCTTCCTAAATTTATAAAATTTCTAGAACCCTCTGAAATTGTTTCAGTGCATAGACTACAAAAACAAAAAACCAAACAATACTTTTTCAGTATCTGGCTTTAATGTTTACAATTTTAAGTAAAACAATATTAACATGTTAGCCCTGAAGACAATATCAGGAAACAATTGTGCTAAACTACATAACAAGGCAACAGATACAATGGTCTGGACATGTGTCAAGACTACTAAAGGATAGTGATAGTGCACCACAGACAGTCCTGCCACTAAGACAACAGAGGCAGAGCTTGAGGCCACCCATGCTAGCAACAGAGGAATATCGCAGGCTATGAATACTAGCAACTCAAACATGCAAGAGACAGAGGAATATCTGAGGCTATGAATACCAGCAACTCAAACATTAGATAGAGGAATATCTGAGGCTATGAATACCAGCAACTCAAACATGCAGGAGATAGATAAAGGAATATCTGAGGCTATGAATACTAGCAACTCAAACATTAGATAGAGGAATATCTGAGGCTATGAATACTAGCAACTCAAACATTAGATAGAGGAATATCTGAGGCTATGAATACCATCAACTCAAACATGCAAGAGACAGAGGAATATCTGAGGCTATGAATACCAGCAACTCAAACATGCAAGAGACAGAAGAATATCTGAGGCTATGAATACCAGAAACTCAACCATTCAAGTGTTAGGCAGAGGAATATCTGAGGCTATGAACACCAGCAACTCAAACATGCAAGAGACAGAAGAATATCTGAGGCTATGAATACCAGCAACTCAAACATTAGATAGAGGAATATCTGAGACTATGAATACCAGCAACTCAAACATTAGATAGAGGATTATCTGAGGCTATGAATACCAGCAACTCAAACATTAGATAGAGGAATATCTGAGGCTATGAATACCAGCAACTCAAACATTCAAGCGATTGATAGAGGATTATCTAAGGCAATGAATACCAGCAACTCAAACATTCAAACATTAGATAGAGGAATATCTGAGGTTATGAATACTAGCAACTCAACCATTCAAGTGTTAGAGAAATAGCTGAGGCTATAAATACCAGCAACTCAAACATGCAGGAGATAGATAAAGGAATATCTGAGGCTATGAATACTAGCAACTCAAACATTAGATAGAGGAATATCTGAGGCTATGAATACTAGCAACTCAAACATTAGATAGAGGAATATCTGAGGCTATGAATACCATCAACTCAAACATGCAAGAGACAGAGGAATATCTGAGGCTATGAATACCAGCAACTCAAACATGCAAGAGACAGAAGAATATCTGAGGCTATGAATACCAGAAACTCAACCATTCAAGTGTTAGGCAGAGGAATATCTGAGGCTATGAACACCAGCAACTCAAACATGCAAGAGACAGAAGAATATCTGAGGCTATGAATACCAGCAACTCAAACATTAGATAGAGGAATATCTGAGACTATGAATACCAGCAACTCAAACATTAGATAGAGGATTATCTGAGGCTATGAATACCAGCAACTCAAACATTAGATAGAGGAATATCTGAGGCTATGAATACCAGCAACTCAAACATTCAAGCGATTGATAGAGGATTATCTAAGGCAATGAATACCAGCAACTCAAACATTCAAACATTAGATAGAGGAATATCTGAGGTTATGAATACTAGCAACTCAACCATTCAAGTGTTAGAGAAATAGCTGAGGCTATAAATACCAGCAACTCAAACATGCAGGAGATAGATAAAGGAATATCTGAGGCTATGAATACCAGCAACTCAAACATGCAAGAGATAGATAAAGGAATATCTGAGGCTATGAATTCCAGTAACTCAAACATGCAAGCGATAGAGGAATATCTGGGGCAATGAATACCAGCAACTCTAAAGGATAGTGATAGTGCACCACAGACAGTCCTGCCACTAAGACAACAGAGGCAGAGCTTGAGGCCACCCATGCCAGCAACAGAGGAATATCGCAGGCTATGAATACTAGCAACTCAAACATGCAAGAGACAGAGGAATATCTGAGGCTATGAATACCAGCAACTCAAACATTAGATAGAGGAATATCTGAGGCTATGAATACTAGCAACTCAAACATTAGATAAAGGAATATCTGAGGCTATGAATACTAGCAACTCAAACATTAGATAGAGGAATATCTGAGGCTATGAATACCATCAACTCAAACATGCAAGAGACAGAGGAATATCTGAGGCTATGAAGGCATTTTCTGTGGTGATGCGTTTAACTTCTTCCATCTCAACTTTCTTGATCCTGGCAATGTACTCACATGAGATGCTCACATTGGAGGGCTCATTAATGGCCTGGTAAGAAAAGCAGAAACAAATTTTAAAAAACTGCATTTCTGCCTGTATTTAGCACTTCTGCTGTGGGGGGGGGGGGGGGGGGGGATTTTCTTTGAGCAAACAAAAGTATTAAAAAAATATATATTAATTTCTCAATGTGCTGTGACAATTAAACTATTCAAGTTGGTACAATATCCCCCTCTATAAATAATAAAGACATTAGGCAACAAACAGCAGCTATAAAAATCAACAAACATTTAGAACCACTTCAGAAAATAAGGAAGTGTCTTCAACAAGATGTATACTGTCTGTGCCCCTACTGGGGTTTCCCTTTCATTATCATCAATCAGCAGATCCTTTACAGTAGGACCCGGAATATTTATTTTCCACTTCCCACGTGTCCCACCAGTCTATTGGCTAGACATCGACCTGGCTGCTTCGTGATACAAAGATAAGTGATATTGTCTAATCTGTGTAGTAATGTCTAATTTATGTATGTGCTGATGAAGGCTCCATAGCCGAAACATTCACGTTTTGTTTGTGTCTGTTATATTGTGAAGCTCACTGATATTCTTTGTAATGTTGGTATTTTCACACGGGGATTCCCTGGGGAATAATGTGACATACGACACAAAAACAGGATAATGCAAAGACTCGTAGAAACACGAGGTACTCGAGCAGGATAGACGAACACGTGAAGCCACGTGGAACCCTGCACAAGGTTATAAGATTCAACAAAGGTCTTATCAGACAGGATGTGTTTGCCAGCCGGAGTGAAAGGGTGTACCTGAGATTCAGGATGAATGTAACAGTGTATTTGGCGATGTGAGGAGTTCTGTTCTGACAGAAGACAACAAGATAACAGCCTGATGACAATCTGATACAAAGTGGCATCCAACCAGTTTCCGATTGCTCAAGAAGTTAAACTACAATGCTAGAACTGCCGTAGCAACCGTGGCGTGTATTCTGAATGTGAGGAAGGAGGACTGAGAGGTACTGAGTACGAATGAGAGACTACTCCAAGTTGATGTCTGAACAATGTCATATTATAATGCTGGACTTGCCAGTTCGTAGTGGACAAATGGTATGTGAAATTGTAGTAAAGTATTATATTGAGATATTGTCTTCTTGTACCACCTGTGTCTACTTAGAGTGTCAATCATGTCTTCAATAAGAACAAACCCCTAGAAAGCAGCTAAGACACGGAGGAGACAATATCACAAGTTGGAGCTAGTCCAGAAGTGGACAAACAACCAGAACCTTCTGCTGGATTTTACAGCCGGTGAACACTAAGAAGTAGACATCCATTTTTCAGATCTGACTTATTTGCATGCAGAATGTTGGTTCCTCATCTCTTAGGCAGATGGACACTTGTTAGGGGGCAGTAGTTTTAACCCCCCCCCCCCCCCCCCCCACAACAATGAGGCACCAGAATCTACATGGAGGCACCACTAAAAAAATTATGGGGGCATTTAAAGAAAAGAAATAAACTGCTGCATAAATCTAACCCTAGTACTTAAAAAAAAGAAAGAATTAAAGGACCCTTTTCCACGCTTTTAGGCGTATAGGGCATATAGGGCTAGACCTATATTTTTATAGACCAATCGGCACAAGATGGGTGATGTGGTCAGCATCACACCGGTTGCCTTTACTTCCCGGGACCAATCCAGACTGGGTCGACCTGGGAGCCAAGGTCACTTTTGAAAATAGTCCGGCTCCGCCAGGGAACGAACCCACGACCTTCCGATTTGCGGCGGGCGTCTAGCCGCTCAGCCAAGGCGACTCCCAAAGATCATCTAATTGTTAAAGTCATTCACAAACCTCTAAGCCTCAGAGCATGAAATCTATTAGGAAATATGTCATGGATCATAGCTGGGGTAAAAATATAATAACTTTCCATTATTTATTTTTTTAAATGTTATTTTATAGGCAAGCCAGAAGAAAATACAGACGTTTAACTCTGTGAGTTCCAGGGGGTTTAGCATCACAGGCCCTGGGGGTAGTAAATAAAGTCATAAAATCGGCACATCATGCATTCATTGGGCTTCTAGGTAGAAAGCCATGAACGTTTGATGCGTTCCTTGGGACTCAAAGAGTTAAACACAGTTGTGGATTCTAGGGCTTAGTTCAGGCTGGGGAAGGGAGAGGTTAAAGCAAGTTTGTTATTCTTCTTTCTTCTTCTTCACTTCCTCTTTTACCACATGGGTGTCAAGGGAAATATAAGCTTCTGTTTCTTGCTCTCCTGGCCGCCTTGACAATAGACACATTGTGCAGTTGTGGAGTTTCTATGATGTTATCTTTACATCTTGTTCCTGGTCTACCTCTCGCTCTTCGTCCATCTCCTTTGTTGGTGTTTACCTTGTATAGGCATCAAATGGCACTTCCCAAAGTGGGCAAACATTTGATTTGCTGTGTTTGTATGGAACTTAGAAATAGTTCTGTGCCAACTTTTTCTCTTATACCTCATTCCCATGTTTTTTCTTCTTCTGGTCACTTCTGCAGCCCTTCTCGAACATCTCGTTTCCATACCACAGTTATTAATTTAAGTCTGTAATTAAAGTTAACAAATTAGGGTTGTCTGAAATATGGATGTGTTTTCTAAAGGGGCAGATACTACAGCCTAGCTGTACCTTACAACACAATGTGCCAACCGCCTTTTTTCAGAGTGAACTTAAAAACGAAGAAGAACAAGTGGTTGTAGAAAGTTTTCAAAAACTTACTCCTTTGACTGGTGCGATGGCAGGCGAATCTGTCTCAAGCATGAGTCTGTCTAAGGGCAAAGATTTCACCATCTTCTGTATCTAGTTTAATTATAGAAAAATGCATTACCCCATTAAATAAACACAATACAAATATTTAAACGATATTAACCATTTTTAGGAATTAAGAAACATTTACAAATATAGTAACTCTGCTGTCTCCTTCTTCTTCTGTATTCTTCTTCTGTATTCACCCCTTTAACTGGCGATTGGCGTCTATGTTGTGGTTTACAGCTAGAGTGCAATATCTGCACCTTTCAGCCTAATACATCCAGTTTCAGTCAACAGTGGCTCTATTCTTTTGCTCCCTATCCCCCCCCCCCCCCCCCCCCCAGTGAGCCCATAAACTGCAGGAGGAACTCAGCTTTCAAACAATGCTTCCTATATCATCATGCTGCCACATCACATAGGATTCACAATAAACTCCTCCACTCAGTTCTGTTCTACACTGTTTCTATGTCAAGGATTGAATCCAGTCCAGCACCTTTGGCTTCTCTCATCAATGTTCTTTACAGGGTTTCTGTTGGACACTTGTTTCTGATTTCAGTGCCTGACTACTGAATCTCTGTCCCCTTCCCAGGATGTGCCTTCAATCTGTCTATCAGTTTGCTTCTCTGGGCTGCTATCTAATGATATATCAACCTCAGATTAACAAATTTCAATTTGAATGCCAGACCAACTAGATGGATCTCAGATACCATGTTCAACCTTCAAAAAAGTTATAATTAGGCCACCCATAAACAGCTACACCAGCCAAGTGTAACCTCCAGTTCCAGTCCTAAATGGGCAAAGACCCAGGATGTGCCCAGTATATCACCATCTTCTTTGTCTTAGAGCTGTTGATAACCAGTTTACTACAGCCATTTAATATTCTTAGAACTGTTGATAACCAGTTTACTACAGCCCTTTAATATTCTTAGAACTGTTGATAACCAGTTTACTATATCCATTTAATATTCTTAGAACTGTTGATAACCAGTTTACTACATCCATTTAATATTCTTAGAACTGTTAATAACCAGTTTACTACAGCCATTTAATATCCTTAGAACTGTTGAAAACCAGTTTACTACATCCATTTAATATTCTTAGAACTGTTGATAACCAGTTTACTATATCCATTTAATATTCTTAGAACTGTTGATAACCAGTTTACTACATCCATTTAATATTCTTAGAACTGTTGATAACCAGTTTACTACATCCATTTAATATTCTTAGAACTGTTGATAACCAGTTTACTACATCCACTTAATATACTTAGAACACATGCTATGTCCTTTGATGCAGTAGCCATCCTAAGTACTGCAATAGATTTCAGCACAGATGCATAAAGCATCAAAAAGTGTGTCATTTTATCCTGCACAGAACAGACAATAAAATGGTATGGACAGTTGCCATTTGTTTCTGTGTTGAGAACGCGCATGCAACAACTAGCACCACCTAACAAATGGAAACATGCAGTTCACCTTTAGAAACTACCAATTACATTTTCCTGCTTTCCCATAACCATTTGTGACTTACTTTTTGACCCGCCCTTGTAACTACAACAGGTATATCACGTTCAGCTCAGTCTCCCTCTGCAGAGCAGATGGTTTCCCACTATAGCATATGTATATGAGAATATCTATCATATGTGAATATACATTTGCTCACTGTGGTTACAGCCAAGTGGTCAGAGCACTGGGCTTTCATGCTAGAGACCTGGACTGATCCCTGGGGTGAGGGATTTTTAGACAAAAATAAAAACCTTACCTTCAGTTTGTAGCGACTTCATTGACCATCCACCCTTAATACTTCAGGTTCAGACACCCCCACCCCCTCTCTGTCCTACACGGCCCTAAAAGTGGTCAATACATGCAGTAAAGAAGTTCTCCCCCTCCCCCTCACATTTAGACATTCTGGCATATACAGTTATCCTTATCTGTTCTATGAATTATGCCGTCAGAAATAATTATTGGACAGGCCCAGCAAGCCATTTGAGAATTTCATTGTTGTGAGAGTAGAACAATCAACCAAAAATAAAGAAAAATAGCTGACACAGTAACAGTAAATCATTTCACAGAACATAGAAGAATCAAATGGTTTGGTCATCTAGTCAGAATGGAACAAAAGTGGCCAGCATCTAGAGCGTACTACATGTGCAACACTTTGTAGTATAAGCAGTAGGACAAAATAAGAAGAGCCTTATCCGTAACAGACATTTCAAGCACTGAGCTGAGAATTGCCTTGGGAGATCTGCAGTAGATAACTGTTGATAACACTAAAATCCAATATAAAAAGAGCCTTCTAACTCAATCACATGAGCTAAAGAACTTTATGAGCATGATGTACAGTATCCAAGCTACCTACCTGTGGCTCCCTACATACTGATGATGTTACTGAAAAGTAATATCCATTAGTATCCAAGCTACCTACCTGTGGGTCCCTACATACTGATGATGTTACTGAAAAGTAATATCCATTAGTATCCAAGCTACCTACCTGTGGGTCCCTACATACTGATGATGTTACTGAAAAGTAATATCCATTAGTATCCAAGCTACCTATCTGTGGATCCCTACATACTGATGATGTTACTGAAAAGTAATATCCATTAGTATCCAAGCTATCTACCTGTGGATCCCTACCTACTGATGTTACTGAAAAGTAATACCCCTTAGTATCCAAGCTACTCACCTGTGGGTCCCTACATACTGATGCTGTTACTGAAAAGTAATATCCATTAGCCACTCCTTCCAGAGCTGTTGATGCTCTTCCATCAAAAGCATGCAGCAGAACATGTCTTGCATCTTTGAAGAATGTGAAATGTGTAGATAAGATGTTCAGTACATTTTAACAATAGCTAAAAAGGTGCAAAGTGTAAACATGTATTAAGATCTACTAGCCTTTCTAAAACTATACTAAAGGGTACAAGGGAAAAGGAGGTAGGTTAAGAAATACCTGGATCCAAAATTTGGGGAAAATGATTGGGTTTCAAATATTTTAAAAATAAAGTCCAGCACAGGTAATTGTCAGAGACGGGGAAAAACCTGATCAGATAGCCATCAGTAACTCAGTGACTCAATCACATACGGTGTTCTTCTTCTTTTCTTCCTCTGTTACCACTGGGTGTGAAGGAATACATATAAGGTTCTGCTTCTTGCACCCCCAACCACAGACACATCATATTGTTTTGTTTTTCTGATGTTATCTTTTCATTTTGTCCTTGGTCTACCTCTGCTTCTTTTCACCTCTCCTGTTTTTGTGTAGGCCTTGTATGTATGGTATATACAGTTTTATGGGGCTATAGACAGATTCAAGACATAGAAAACTAAGACTGACATTCCGTGCTCTGAATGTCATGAAGTAAAAATATAAAGGCAATTCTCCTGTATAGTTGTGATAGTAACATAGAATGTCATGAAGTAAAAATATAAAGGCGATTCTCCTGTATAGTTGTGATAGTGACATAGAATGTCACTATGACTTGCTCTGCTTAATGTGTGCATTTAAGTAAACAGATGTGTACATGTATAGATACACATATATAGATACCAATTCTAATTCCAATTCGTCCAACAAAAATTCCAAATTTGATCCTCTTTCAGCCGCCCGGAGGCCTGCTATATCGAAGAAAGTTCCTTAGCTGTCTTATATGGTTTCCTTTTATTTGTGGTGTGTAGTCACACCTGATATTACGGTTGTTTTCTTCTTTGCTGTGTTGCGGTGATTGTGGTTTTTGGTTCTGGTGTGATCCAGATCTCTTTGCAATGATATCGTATCTTTATATATATATATATATATATATATATATATATATACACACACACTCACATAATAGCTGTGCACTTTTGCTTGATTTAATACACTGTATCCACAACTACATGTGCTAAAGTTAAGGGCTATGGCTTTTTTACAGGCAAATAGATAGGATTTTACAAAATGAAGAATATTCGATGCAATCTTTCTTTGTCAGTTGGGACGAGAAACATAATTCAACAAATCAATACACTGATATACAGAAGTGAATCATGGACAGCTGGATGATTAATAACAAATTATAGGCAAGTGGTGAAGATGTGGTTTTTAGTTTTATAGACAAATGATAAGAATACCATGGATGGATAAAAGAGTAATGAAGATTTCTTGATAAAGAGAACTAATTGCCTAAATCATAATGAGATGATCTAAATTCTTTGGTCACTTCATGTGAAGGAGAAAACTGGTGTACATCATGATGGTTGGAAAGCTGCAGGGGAAAAGATGTAGAGGGAGACAGAGAGAGAATATGTTAGAACAGTCTGATATCCTGTCAAAGAAGATTATCCATGTAAGAACTGACTGAAAGCACATGAGTCAGGAGGTTGTGGATAAGACATGACTACCAATGCCACACAGCATGGACTGTAATAAGCAGATGTTATGAAGATGCAGTTCAAGAGGTCAGTGACTAGAGACAGACAGTAAAGCAAAGAGAGTAAAGACACTGTTTCCCAACACTGGAACACTGGGTACCTGGTGCAAGACCATACTTTTGTTAAGACCAATGGTAATTTGATGGTGATATAGTCAACATCATGCTGGCCAGGGCTATCATTTGTGGCAGTACACACTGGTACCCAGTAGCACCAGTTTGTTGTTGTTTTGTTTTGTAGGCATAATGTATTTTTCTGCGCTACTGCAATAGATAGGCAGTCGCCGTGGTGTAGCGGCTAGACGATCGCGTGCGGATCGGAAGGTCGTGGGTTTGCTCCCTGGCAGAGCCAGACTTTTTTTAAAAATGACCTTGACTGCCAGGTCGACCCAGCCTTGAGTGGGTACCGGGTGCAGTCTCGGGAATAAAAGGCGGCCGGCGTGATGCTGACCATATCTCTCATCTTGTGCCGATTGGTCTATAAAAATATAGGTCTAGCCTTATACACCTAAAGGCGTGGAAAAGGGACCTTTACTTTACTTTTTGTTTTTTGTTTTTTTAACTGTGACAGATAATCTGTGGTGAGTGCAGGCTGGCACCTTTTTATAAGCTTTTACTTATACGTGTGGTGAGTACTGTCACCTTTGTTTGTTTGTTTTTCTAGTTTAAAAAAAAATTTTTTAGTTAGTACCGGCACCTTTTTAGACACACTGTGGGGGAGTACTGGCACTTTTTCTAAAGAAAGGGAAAAAGCCTTGATGCCGGCCAAGAGTTTCCAGGACAATTACTGGTAAACACTTAAGGGTGGAGTGACCTAGGAACCAAGATTAACTATAAAAAATTTTTCTCCACCATGCAGATTTGAACCCAATACTTTTGGGCTGCCAGGTAAGCATCTACACTAGTTAACTAGACAGAGTTAAAAGCCACAGGCAAACATCACCACATGGCAATTAGTGTGGAAAATGGAATCGAAATGTCAGCTGGCCAAAAAACAATATTTACAACTAAATTAAAACTGTCTTCACAGTCTTATTTACCACTTTCAGTGCTGTCGGACAGGAAGGTCATGATCCTGGGGTTTTATGGCCGCTCGGCTAATGCAAAAACTGTCAGGTTAGGATTTTTATTCTGCCCCCCAACTAGAATAAAATCTCTGCTCTTTACAAGGAATAAATCCTGGGTTTCTTGTGTAAGAACTCAGTGTTCTAACAACTCGGCCAGCCACTCAACTAAACTGACTCAGTCTGTCCCAAGCAATGCAAAATGTATGTGTGACTGGATATTATTTATATGTATCAATCGATATGTTATAAGCCTATAAGTTTTTATATCTCATGTTTAGTCAAGAAATCCTTATAAAACCTAGACAACTTTTTTTTTCTCCTTCAAGGATTGTGTCTTTGGCCGCTGTCGTATACCCATGAGTTTAGTGATGTCATTCTTGTCTCTCTACGACATTAGCCAAGGCTATCTGGGACCGAAAGTGTTAGGCCAACTGATGTCTCCTCACCAAGCTCTTTCAGCAACTGAATTGTCTGTTTACCCGCTGACCTTGAATGCACATTTCTGTTTAAAACAAAAAGGAAATGTTCAAAACAATGTTTTCCCATAATGAATTTAAATAATGCGGATACAAACAATACATTGCACAATTTATTGCTAGGCATATTTCGCTGTATCTCATCAGGTGTGCTACTACAGAGTTACATCAACACAAAATAAAGCACAAAACTGAATAAATTCAACTGAAATGCGAATAGTTTCTTCGATACATTGTCTCTGTTTTATGGCCGCCGGAAGCTCACGTAGTCATGTGACTACCAGGAAAATGGTTGATGATTACTGCTAGAACTGCTCATTTACAACAAGGAAGAGGAGAAACATTTTAGTATCAGAGGTTAAATGTCAGTAAAGATATCAACATCAGAGACTACATGTCAAGAAACATTGCAACATTAAAGAAAGATACTTATGCCCTAATCCTCCTCCGACATCCTCCATACTTTATATTTGCCCGAGTTTAGTGCTTGGTGCAGCCCTGTGAGTTGTATATCCTTTTGTCTGCATAATTATGGATTAAACCGGCTGACACTGACGCTTCCACGAATCTAAGTAATCTACGCCTTCCCAAACTGTAAATAATTCTAAATGCAATCATCCTTGTTTACAATGTGCCTGAAATTTAGAATATGGCACGCAAGTTCAGCAACATGTTTCTCTGGTCGTTGATCAGTTCTGTCCCCTATATGCCGTGTTACATATTGCATTATTTTAATCAACTGTTATTGAAGTATGCACAAGACGAGATACAGCGAAATACCCAAGGCAATAAATTGTGCAATCTATTGTTTGTGTCTTCTTTGTTCAAACTTACACCATAAATTTCACTTTTCTGACTTTAGTGACCTGTTCATGTGATGTGTAGTTAATGTTATCGGCTGAGTTCGCACTGGAGCAACATTTATGAGGTCAGGGTATGAATACATTAACTAACAGCATTTAGGAAGGTCTGGTTTGGGCTAAATGACTTTTTATAAAAACCAGGTTGACGTCATAATTTCTAATAAGTCTCAGTGATAGAGGATAAGGGGTCATTGCATGTCACCCAATATCTTTCTGTTTTTAGGCCCTGGGAAAGTATTCCATTTAATGCTTCACTCTGTGTTTACTGGCTACTACTTTTACAAATCTTTATTTATTTTAAACAATATAATTTAAAAAATATTAAATGAATACACTTTAAACAAACGTATTAGTGATCTATGAAAATTATTAGTGAAATATGGAAAACAATTTTTTGTTTAACCGACTTTTCGTTGAATTCTAGCCTGGTCATGACTTAAAAAAAAAAAAAGTGTTTCTAAGGTGAAAGTGTAAGATCTCACAACATCACAGCATACCACGTGCATCCTGGCCCAGCTACGTATCATCCATTAAATTGCACCACCTAATGGCACAAAGCAGACATTGACAAAAGAAAGATTTACTTTCACTGAACATGTGGTTGCTATAGTAAAGGAACTCATACAATAAAAATTATATAGCACTAAACTCAAAAGATGCTTATCTACATGACAATAAGAAATAACACATTCCTGTCAACTATTACTTACATTGGTAAACTGTGTTTCTGAGCCAGCTGCACCTGACGAGTTAAAAACTAAAAATGTACTAGCCTGCAAGAAAACTATTTTTCATGGAACAATGTAACGTAGGGGGCTATGTGGTCTTGAGGCATGGAGTCCGCCTCGAGTGCTAGAGGTTCCAGGTTCAATCTCCAGTAAAAGCTGGGATTTTTTCACGTAGACTTGGATTTCTAGTAATTCCCCCTGGTCTCTGGGTAGTGACATCAGATTCCTGTGTGCATTGTTACGCACGCAAAAAAAAATTCCTTGGCAGTTAAAAATCAAAAAGAGTAGCCTAACGGCACTGACTGGGCACAATTTGGAGTTAAATATCTACCCAAAGTATTTCAGGATCCTTGGTGGTGCTACACAGCCTGTGCACTGTGCTGAACTTCTTCGTACTCAGACTTGAGTTAGAAGAAGAATGGAGCATTTATGGGTCACACCTGCGTGTGCCATGATGTTGATCCAAAACCTCATTTCCCAGCAACATGTAATATGTGCCCCAAGCATCAGGTCGTGTATCTTCCCTCTTTTTTTTTTTTTTTTTTACATTTGGTCAATACATATTAACCAAGCTAGCCAAGAGTAATTAATATCTATCATACGACTTCTCATTCCCTGGGTGAGCTCTAGGTCCTATTTAGAAAAAAATGGCGGGGGGGGGGGGGGGGGGGGGGGGGGACAGACTCACTGTCCCCCTAACAAGCCTATCATAAACAGTAACTAATTAGGGGTTTAAATAGATGTGCTGAACCAAAAGTTGCAAATATTACCTAGCTGTGCACCACAATACAATGTGCCAAACGGCCTTTCAATGCTGAATATAGAAGAAGACTTCTTATATGGCATTTGGAATTTGAAAATATGGTCCAAACATTGAGTTTTCAACATTCCCAAATGACTTTTAATGTGACCTGCTTTAGTCAAATTATAATAACACAAAACATTGTTTAAAGTTACCTGCTTTGTTAGAATCAATTTCTGAACTTCCTTGTCATATGCTGTCTTACAGAATCTGGGGCTGAAGTCAAGACCAATCTGGCAAAATCAAACAATTGCTCACGTTTCCAGGCCAATCTACACACTTCCTGACCTATCATTCATACTTTCTCAGACTCTTCTATGTCAGAAGGGAGTCACATTGTCTTCCCTCCAATTACATCAACGCCGATGGCACGTGTTCTAATCTACACGACTACACAGCTTTTAACGTACCCATAACATCTAGAACTGGCCCTATCCTAAACTCCCCCCCCCCCATCCACAGCCTCAACCTAGGTCACACGAGAGACTCTTTTTTAAGAAAGCAGTACAACGTAACACTCCTCTGACCTAGATCAGAATAGGAAAGTGTGTAGATGGGCTGGGAAACTAGCCAATTTCTGACAAAGAAATACATTAATTAAATCTACAACATTTAGTTGCACTGAAAAAGGATTTATTTTTAAAGCGTAGATTCAACAAGACATAATATATTTCATTATTATGTCACACTTCTCTCCTTGGCAAAGTGACCAAAACCACTTTTAAATGTTCAAAGGGTAGTTAATCAGTTAATTCTTTGCTCTGTTTTAATTTAGTAATTACTTTTCCTTATGCATAAATTAACTTATTCCCATTAAGTCACAAAATTGTTGTACATTTTCAACTGATGTTCGCCAATAATTAAAAAAAAACCACAACTGGATACTTCATGCCTGCCTGTCTTCTTGTTGATGTAAGGGTTCGATCCTCTGGATATTAATAAAAACTGACCATGAATTAAAAAATCCTTTGTTTCTTCTTCTCTTCTCCTAGTTTCTTGGGGTAGAAAAAAAAAACACAAATTTATAAAAAAAAAGGGGTCATTTTTTTTAAGATTCTTATGCGACCCCTAACAGCATTAAGCAGATAATGACAACTGATAGAAAGACAGATGTGGCAAAAAGGTGAAAAATGTCACATTTATCTATAAAGAACTAAAATAAACAGCAAGTTCAAATTATAAATAACAGATGATGAAAGCAGTATCTGTTTTAATAATTGGAGCAACATGTAAAATTAATTGAAGAAAATATTTTATATATATATATATATATATATATATATATATATATATATATAATATAATATATATATATATATAGGTATCTAAATTAACAAAATGTGCTTTCTTAAATTAGGAGCCAAACGTAACAGGACACTAAAAGTAACAGACTTAATTTCTTTAAGCTGCAGATGTAAAATGTAATAAAATGTAAATGTGATATACTGCTTCCGAGAACTAAAACTCAGCTTAAATAACAACAGCAAGAGAATGTTTATATAAATATTATAAGTAACAAAACACGCTTTAGTAAAAAACAGAAGCTGAAAGTAACAACATGCATACCTCACCAACAGCGCCAATGACATCTGCAAATCTCTCAATGGCTGACTCAACACCAGCATAATCCTAAAATGATGAATACAACATACCAAAAATCTTTTAAAGAGTGAATGTGGAAAAAGAATTTTCTTATGAACTACTGGTTACTTTTTTGGTTGTGTTGGACCTGGAACTTTTCGCTTGCTGCTGAAGATGGGGGACAGAGCACTTATGGGAGTGTCTTGAGTGCTGTGATGTCAATTCTTAATTCCACATTTTTAATGGCTGTAAATTTGTTTCTTTATTAAACTGGTGACTTTAAGGCATGCAACTGTCAAATAGTTAAATTTTGTAGCTAATGTTGTTAGTTAGTTAGTTAGGTGGGTTATCATCATTGCACTCCGGACATGTCCATAGGTGCTCAGATCCTCCCCTCAGTATGAACCCCAACGTCCGATGGCTAATAGTACCAGTTCTATGTTGATTAACAAGTCTTCTGACGTGTCCGGTGTGCGTCTCGTTTTTTGCTGTGCCGATCTTAATTCCCAAGTCTGTCATTCTGGCGAGTGATGTGGATTCACTGCCACCAAAGTCCTCTATCCTTCCCATTTCTCAGAGGGCATTGATAATATCAGCATGATCCATAGGCCGACCGTCAGTAGTGATAGCGGATCCAGCCAACCTGTCAGCTCTTTCATTTCCATCAACGCCTGCGTGTCCCGGAACAAAAATAAAGGTGACTCCTCGCACAGTGGACTACTGAATTGATTCAAGCCATTGTCTCCGCACTGAACCTGCCTGAACCCTCCGGATCATACTCATTGAATAGCTAATGTTGCCTATAGGCTGAAGGTAGCCAGCCTCATTCAACATTTCAGACTTGACTGTTACAATATAACTGATATGTTTTTGTTAATATTATTCTTTGCTTTCCAAGTAACAAACAGGCAGTCCTAGATTTCACTCTTCAACATTTTTAGCATTAGGAATTAAGAAATACCAATTATGAAGCCAGATTTCTTTAGTGTGTTCATTGCAAAAATTATTTTAAAAAAAATAAGAAAGCATATCACGCTATGGAGGGGAATCAATAGACAGATTCATTAACAAATCAGGCATTGCTTGGGACCAAAAGAGTTAAGACTTTTTTTTAAAAGTCTCCTTTCTATCAAATTCAAATTTTAAAATCTGGCAACATCATCAATCATTAACAAGGGCCTGTACAGAATCATCATCTTCATGTAGCAGGTCCTTTGCAGAACGTCGCTCTCATCACAGTCTGCCTGTAAGAAACTCGGTCTCTTGCCAGTTCCCCGGCCTCATGAACTTTCACACTCAAGGAGTCACTTATATCCTGTGCCCATCTTCGTGTCGGTCAGCCTCTGCCCCTCCTTCCTGGTACCATGCCTTCTGCTATAATTTTTTCCAATCCATCGTGGCGCTTGATTTAACCAAAATATTTCAGCTTTCGAGAAAGGATGCTGTGTATTAGCCAATCTTCCTTGATGTTCAGATCTTTTAAGATGTCAATACTTCTCCTCTTCTTTGTCCAAGATATTCTGAGAATCTTTCTATAGCATTTCAGCTCAAAAGCCCTATTCTCTTTCTTAAGGACTGAGAGATAGTCCACGACTCACATCTGTAATGTAGCCACAGGGAAGATGCATGCTCTCAAAATTCTAATTTTTATCTCCTTGCTGGTGCTTAACCATACTGTACAGAATAGAATGAATTAAATGGTAGGACAGAATCACTAAAGCTAGGCTTTGGAATAGTTCAGTGAATGAAGAGGTGAAGAACAGATGTAGCACTGGCTAGGACACCCAGACAGAAAACCTCAGAACAATATAACTAGATTATTTTTTTACAGAGGTAACTACAGGGACATAGAAATAAAAGCGGACCAAATAAAGCCATGGAAAAGGGAGCTTCAGAGTGAAGTTAAAAATACAGGGAAGATACAGGGTGAGCAGTGTGTAACAGCAAAGGGTAGAATGACTTTGTAGGAATTGGTTAATAGCCTATGCTTCACAGAGGGATAAAGGGCAGAAGTAAAAGAAAATCATCACTTCTGAAAACCTTTGAGTGTACCAGGTTTAAAAAAAAATTAAATCAAACCAAAAAATACAGAGATTTCATAAAATATATTCACCAGCAGAATATCATCACGACCACAATTAGTTCTCTTATGATCACATTTGCATCTTACCTCAAGTGAAACACTCCGCTTTACTTCAATACCACTTTCATCAGATATTCCTGTGCTCTGTAATAAACACATGTGTAAAAAAAAAAAAAAAAAAAACATTTAAAGCTACTGATTTGCTCTTACAGAAGAGAAAGGAGAAGAGTAGAAGTCTAAGAACAAGTCTGTATAGCTTTCCATGTTTCTGTTTTCTACTGTCCCCTCAGTTTCTAATTTATTTCTGGGGTTTTACCCCTTTTACCAAAAGAAGCCGCAAAATCAACACTTCTGGTTCGGGACAATTTCCCTGTAAATGTCACTTTTTCCTATATCACTGTAGTGACCTGTTTATGAAATGCATAGTTCATGCTATTGGTTGTGTTCACACCTGTGCAGATATCTATGAGGTCAGGATCTGAATATATTAATTAAAAATAGCATTTATGGTGTTTGCCATTTAACCACATGAATTTTTTTTTTGACATAAAATTTTGCTGTAAGCCTCAGTGACAATGTATTCCGGGGAATGTATTCCATGTAATGCTTTAATCTGTTCACCTCTATTTATTACTACCTTTATATATCTTTAATAATTTCAGAAACAACTTCTGACACCAGGACACAACTGGCACTTCCTTCCATTAACTCACAGTTTGTATTCCCTGCATGAGTTCCAGGGCCCCATTCTGGCAAACAGGGTGGTTGGGGGGGGGGGGGGGGGGGGGGAGAGAATACACCCACTGCCATCCTAACAAGCATGCCTCAAAAGGTCACTAGTTATGGCCCCTGTACTCCACAAGGGGTATTTATTCCCCCAGCCGACACGTCTAGGCAGTCTGCTGAGAAACCATCGACCTGGCTGCTTCGAGATGCCAGTTAAGTGATTTTGTGTATTTGTGTAGTATTGTCTGATTTGTATGTGCTGATGAAGGCTCAATAGCTCCACCGTTCACATTTAGTTTGTATTTGTTTTATTGTGAAGCTTGCTAATATACTTTTCATTCGATTTATATCTTTTCTCAAAATGTTAACAATTAGGTGTTTTTCAAGAAGGGGCTTCCCGCACCTGACAAAATGTAGCCAAATATGCCAAGCAATAAATTGTACAATTCACTGTTTGTGATTCTGAAATAAATAGAAATGGAGACTGTTTGACAGAAATTAAAACAGGATGGCCATAGCACTGCAAAGATTAAACAGTCTAAAAAGTCTTTGGTTAAGCACCAGTAAGGAGATCAAAATTAGAATTTTGAGAGCATGCATCTTCCCTGTAGCAAAATGTGGATGTGAGTCCGTAAGGACTATCTCCCAGTCCTTAAGAAAGAGAATAGGGACTTTTGAGCTGAAATGCTATAAAAAATTCTCAGAATATCTTGGACGAAAAAGAGGAGAAACACTGACATCTTGAAAGATCTGAACATCAAGGAAGATAATAATAATAAACAGCATCCTGTATCGGAAGCTAAAATATTTTGGTCATATCAAGCGCCACGACAGATTGGAAAAAATTATAGCAGAGGACGTGGTACCAGGAAGGAGAGACAGGGGTGGACCAACACGAAGACGGGCACAGGATATAAGTGACTCCTTGAGTATGAAAGTACATGAGGCGGGAGAGCTGGTGAGAGACCGAGTTTCTTTCAAGGCAGACCGTGATAAAAGCAACACTCTGCAAAGGACCTGCTACACGATGATGATGATGATGATGTCCGCAATTTACTGTCTGTGTCTGCAATTTACTGTTTGTGTCTGCATTATTCAAATTTACAATGGAGAAAACATTGTTTTGAATTAGGGGTTTGCCAAATCAGATGTGTGCAGATATGACACAACGAAATTAATAAATATTCTTTCCAGCAACTGCAAAAATGACATTCACATGTATCACTAAGCATACCTGAATAGGATGAAGTCCAAGGCATGGCAGAACAAACTTCGGAAATCTGTGAAAAAGGACAATATGTTGCTGTCGACACTACAGAACGAGAAACAAGCATTCCATCAAACACTACATGCAAAGATATTCTGTGACATGTGCACACAAATGCACATACATGTGCACATATATACAAACACTCACACACATAATGCATGTGGTCTTAAAATTCAAATAGATTTAAAGCACAGACAGTTTGAAAAATTTATGAAACACAGATATGTTGTGAAGAATTATTGGTAAGAAAATGGCTGCCTCAGATAACAGTAAAATTAACTCTTACCTCTTGTAGAGTTCAACAGCAGGTTCAAATTCTTTTATGTTTTCGGTGACCACTAAAGCAGCTCGAACATTTTTCTGGAACAATAAACAAGTAAACAAATAACTCATTCATAATGCAAGTTGCCCTTTGGAGCTTGCTACTTTTTTCACAGCCTGCTTGAAGGACTACATGGTCTTGAAGCAGGGTACCTGGAGAAAATACTTTGTGTTAAACAGGCACTCTGTATACACCCCACACCACATGACTCATTTGTTCACCAGAATGACATCCTTCCCTGCAAGTTTCTGTAGCAAATCGTATTTTACAGGGAGGAAAAGCTCACCCCCCTCCCCAACCCTCCCCCACCCCCAATGCACAACTCTCCTGCCTCATCTTGGCTAGAGACTGGCAATGGTGAAGATTTGTGTTGCTACAGGATACACATCAATTATTCAATATTTTAGAAGGTTTAATGGAGTGTCTTGGGTTTGCTCCTGTTGATATCGGGGCTACTGTGATGAGAAACTTTGAGACAGTGGTCCCGGGGGAAAAAATAGTCAGCCAATCCTAATTTATTTTGTCATATTTAAGGTTTCTTTAAATTACGCACACTCAACGGTGAATAAATATAAAATTAATTAAAATGAAAACAAACTAAGTAAATAAATTGATAATTACATAAACAGTACATTTATATAGGATATGTTTTGAAAGAGGTGAGGGCTCAAAGACAATTTATTACAAACAACAGAAAGAGACAGTCATAATTTTGTGTGTGGTTATATTATGGGATGAAGGAAAGTGGAAGATGCTGGGGTAGGGGGGGGGGGGGGGGGGGGGAGGTGCTGGGGAAAAGAGGAAGACAACATGAGTAGTTTCTGGACAGCCCTTTTGTCATGGTATGGCAGGGTGTCATCACAAGAACTGATATATGCAGTTGCAGATAGTGGAGAGGCATACAGCCCATGCCAGGCGACAAGGTACTTGATGAACTTTATACACTATATAAAAAAACAGATAGACTTACAAAATGTCATGATATGACACTGTAACCTACCATGGTGAAACTATGCGGGTGACTGCAGTCAAGCTAATACAATGAATTCCAGAGAAATTTGACTAAAAAGCTCAACAAAATGGGAAAGAGGAAAACGTGCACAAAACAACACAATGTAACGTTTCGGCCGGGCAGCCTTTTTCAAACACAAGTGAAAGACACAAACGAGGAATGGAGAGTATGTAGATCTCTAAGGGGTGACGTTAGCGACGTTTTAAAAAAATGTGATGCGGAATAAATGAAATAAAATAAAATAAACGATGGCTAGACTTTGTCCAGACTTCTTCTGTCAGTTTCCCTAATGGTTCTTTTCAAATTAGGGAACCTTTTACTTGCGAATCCCGCAACGTAATTTATGCAATTATCTGCAAACGATGCAGCAAGGCATACATTGGGGAGACTGGCAGGAAGCTAGCTGATCGTTTCCGGGAACACCTCTCCGATATCGACAAGAAGACACTCAAACCAATCCCTCTTCATTTTAATAGCCCTGACCACAGCGGTAAAGATGACATATCTGTCACAGCATTAAAATCTTGCTCTGGCGATCATACTACCCGCCTCGCTTTGGAAAAATCGCCTTATTCACAGCTTTGGCGTTCTTAGTCCAAGAGGTATCAATATCCAACATACCTTCATCTAAATAGTTCTAATCTTATCCTATTTTAAATCTTAATTATTTTATTTTATTTCATTTTATTACCTTATTCTATTTCTTATCAGTATCATTTATGTATCATTAACACTTGCATTTCTTTTATTCCCAGTATTGTGACTATATTTTTTAGCCATCGTTTATTTTATATTATTTCATTTATTCCGCATCACATTTTTTTAAAACGTCGCTCACGTCACCCCTTAGAGATCTACATACTCTCCATTCCTCGTTTGTGTCTTTCACTTGTGTTTGAAAAAGGCTGCCCGGCTGAAACATTACGTTGTGTTGTTTTGTGCACGTTTTCCTCTTCTCCATTTTGTTGAGCTTTTTAGTCAAATATCTCTGGAATTCATTGTAACCTACCATGCATGCAGTAAGAAGCAATTAGTTATTTAACTCCTAAGAAGGTTTTACTTTAAATTCTTTAATCCTAGAAATTGAAACGAGAAAAAGAATTCTTAAAAACTATATAAATCCTATCCTGATATACCGAAATTAATCATGGACAGTTGGTCGATTAGTGAAAAACATATTTGGAAGCTGCAGAGGTGTAGTTTTATAGATGAATGATAAGAATACACTAAAGAGTCAAAGAGTAATGAAGATGTATTGAAAGTAACTGGCTCACAAAGAGATCTGACAGCCCACATTAGAAAGAGACAATCTACATTCTTTGGTCATGTGATGAGAAGGAGAAAACTGGAGTACATCCTGACAGCAGGAAAGTTGAAGAGTTAGAGAGGCAGAGGGAGGCCAAGAGAACAGATGCTGGACAGTTTGACATCATGGCTTGGAAGATCATCTGTTGATTGAAAATACACGAGACAGACGGTTGCGGATAGACATGACTACCAATGCCTAGGGAAAAGGACTTGAGGAAGAAGAAGACATTTAGAAGTTGCTACTTTAACTAATGAATTCTTAATGAATTCTTGAATCTGTTGAGCAAGTAGAATAAAGGACCCTTTTGATGTCAATGGCACTTTGGGTATATAATGCTGCACTCATATTTTTATAGACCGACTGACAATCTGTGGGTGATGTGGTCAGCATTCCACTGCCTACCATTACTTTCTAGGACACTGCCTGTTATCTATTTTAGACTGGGTCACCACAGTAATTATTCCCTCTTTAAATCTGCCTGATGTAGATTTGAACCCAAGACTTTGGGTATCTAGTCACTATACTACTACAGCCCTCATTCGAATCTGAAAAGTTACACGGTAAGACAGAAAGATGTAAGGCCGCAACGGTGGCAAAATAGGTTAATGTAAAAACTGGGTAAGGTAAGAAGGATTAGGAAAAGTACTATTATGTAAATCTTACAGTCCATGCTGTATGATGCTGGTAGTCATGGCTGTCCCCATCCTCCTGTCTCATGCACTTTCAATGAATTTTGACACAGATGATTTTCCATGCCACAATGTCAAACTGTTCAGCATCTTCTCTCTCAGTCTCCCTCTGCCTCTTTTCCTTTCCAGCTTTCCCACCGTCACAATGTTCTTCAGTTTTTTAGTCATAATTTCAGTCTTTAGTAGTTGCATAGCAACGTGATCACAGAATGAGTCTTCAAGTACATAATGTTTTTTTTTTTTTAAATGGTTCAAGGGAATTTAATCTTTTAATTCTCCAACTTATTATCCACTTCATATATTTCTTTTAAAAATTTAAATGGTATATAATAAATTTAAAAAAAAACATTATCAGTGATTATATAAAACGGTTGCTTTTTAACTCTTTGTGTCCCAGGGGGTTTAGCATCATAGGTTCAAGGGGTAGTCAAAAGAGATGTAAAATTGACGCATCTTGCGTTCATTGGGCCTCTAGGCAGGAACCTATGAATGTATGATGCGTTCCTTGGGACTCAAAGAGTTGAAAGGATTTTATTTCTATGAATTCCTGAATTTTGGGCTTCTTTATCCCAATGGGTTTCTGGGGTGAAAGGGTTTGTTTGGTTCAATCGCTCATAATCTTCAAAGTCCTTCTACTAATCCACAGCATCATTTCTTTTGTTTTACTGTCTTGTAAATTCTACAATTTTAGGTTGTCATATAATTCATTAGATCATTACAGCTCTATAGATGTCATTTACTTACAGCCAAAGCTCTGTCTATGACACCAGAAATATTCTGTAAAATAAGAAACAATTAAATGCTTTAAGAAAATTCAAAATAGTGAAATTTTATAAATTTTTAAAAATGTTCTGCTAGCATTCATTATATTGCTTAGATCTACAAAGTCTTCTTATTCTTTCTCTTTTTCTTCTTCATCTGCCCTTAACCTCCTAACAGAGCATAGGCCCACAACCAACTTATGCCAAATTGTCATATCCTTTGATGCATGCGGGTCACCCCAAATCCTGCTTGTCTTTTTAACTTCATTCTCTAGCTATCTTCTTCATGTGTTTTTGTGGTCTGCTTTTATTTGTAAGCCCATGTGGATTCCAGTGCAAAGACATTCTAGCTATATTGTTCTCAATTTATCTCAATATGTGTCTTAACCAATGCCACCATCTTTTCCTCACCTCTTGATTTACTAGAATTTAGTCCTCTCCCAAATCTCAACATTAGTGATTTGATCATACCATTTAATTTCCTCCATTCTGCGCAGACATTAGTAAATGTGTGTAATTTATTTTTTATTGTTTTAGTTGTTCTCCATGTTTCCCCTCCATACAGCACTACTACTGCTTTGACATGAAAATTACAAATTTTAAGTTCAGTATTTATTTGTATTTCCTTTGACTTCCACAGATTTCATAGTGCCATAAATCACTTCAAAGGACCCGGGTAGTCAGCACCCTTTGGATATTTTCTCCAGGTGATACAAGTATGTTGGGAAATGAGCAGGCAGACAGACTGGCTGGTTCTCAACCACTTGGTGGTGAACTGATGTACGAAAAGCTGGATGTTGTGAGGGCCCTTTAGGAGCGAGTGAACACTGCTGAGGTACAGATAGATCATTAAGGTATGAGGAGAATGGCACTGCGGGGAGTTACAACGGAAACTGGCCAATGCTCAACACTCAGGGGAAAGGCGAGACAGATATACAATCAGACAGTTACTGGTACCATCAGAATTTTAACTCTTCGCTTGCTGCTAATGATAGGGATGGAGCGCTTATCTGGGTGTCCCAAGTACTGTAATGTCGATTCTTAATTCAACATTCCTACTGCCATAAAAAACTCTTATTGCCTTTTATATTTGTATTTTAATAGCTTCTCCTTCTGTATCTAAATGACTGCCCAACAGGTGTATGATTCCACATCTTGGAGTGAGACATCATTAAGATAAACCAGATTAGTGTTTGCCTAGCATATTCTTCCCAGGTCAACCCAGCCTTGAGTGGGTACTGGGTGCAGTCCCAGGAAGTAAAGGTGTCTGGCGTGATGCTGACCACATCACCCATCTTGTGCCGATTGGTCTATGAAAATATAGGTCTAGCCCTATATGCCTAAAGGCGTGGAAAAGGGACCTTTACTTTATTTTGTGTAACTAGTATATTCTCATTGACTTTATCTTTTTCTTACAGATTGTTAGACTTAAATTTTGTGATTTCAAATCAAGCATGTTTATTTATCTTGCATCTTTCATGAGTGGTATAGAAGAGAAATATCATCAGCAAAACCCTGGTCATCAAGCTTTCAAGTAGGGGTCCCTGATTTCCACCCCCTGGTGGTAATAGTTGCTTTCTTCATTATACAGAATAAAAATAGTCGAGGCAATAAACAACAATCTGTCACACACAATTTTTAAATTTTTTTTTTATTAACTCAAAATGTGTCTGTTAGTTCTCCCTCACGAAGAACTCAATATTTCATGTCTTTATTTGTTGTTGCCTTTATTCGATTCATAGAAATATTCAGGTAGGTGCAAATAAACATTTTGAAAAACTTCCTTCAAGTATTTTTTTACAGGGATTCTTCCACAAGATATGCTAATACTATTTTTCTTTTAACTGATAAAAATACAAAATAATACAACACTAGAATGTTGTTTTTAGACACAGACACTGTGCTCACTTGTAAACCCAAAACACATAGTCTGTGAAATGAACCCACCATCTTCAGAGAGTGAGGCAAGCTGGTTCAACAATTTTGCCACAGCAATCCTATCCTCTAGAGAGATTAGTGATATAGGGAGGGTATGGATAGAGTGAGCTGAAGGAGGTGACAAAAGAGATGGGTTCTCCTTTAAATAGCGGTCGCTAGTTGGACGTCGACGGCCGCTTAGTCGGGGTTCACTCCTCTGGCTGCAGTGCAATTACGAAGTGGACAAGTCATGAATCAAAAAACAAAGTGATGTCGACATGGCTGCTAGAGCTAGACCACGCGCTGCGACTGACATAAGCGACCGCGTTCTTGCAATGCAAGACTCTCGTAGACCACGCTCTGCGACTGAGATTAGTGACCGCTATCTTTCGACGCAAGACTTAGTGACCATAGATGTGAGACCTGCGGATCTGTATGTCGTAATGAGCGATAAGTGTGCAAAGTTTCCGTGATGTGTTACCCTAACCCTACCCCTAACCCAAACCCTAACCTAAACCCTAAGCCTAACCCTAGGATGACAGGTAACTATCTCATTTGTTTCTTTCCCTCTTTTCCACTCCATAATTGCACTGCAGCCAGGGGACTGAACTCCGACTAAGCGGCCATCGCCTTCCAGCTAGCAACTGTTATTTAAAGGAAAGCCAAGAGATAATAATGATGATAGTGCGGAGACAGCTGGCTATACTCTGATATGTCAGAGGCGAAAAAGGAATCAAGAGCAGAAAAAAATAGTAAGTAAAATTTAAAGTAAAGGACCCTTTTATGATAGAATAACTAATGTAGAACTTTGGGAGAGAACTAAACAGGCTCCAGTGGACCAAGAGGTGAGGAAAAGACGCCAGCGTTGGATAGGGCACACATTGAGAAAACAGAACAGCATAACTAGAATGTCTTTGCATTGGAACCCACAGTGGCATAGGAATAAAGGAAGGCAAAAAAAAAAACATGGAGAAGAAAGCTGGAGAATGAGGTTAGAAAGATGGGGAGGACATGGGGAGAGCTCCATGCAATGGCGAAGGATAGAACGACTTGACGTGAGCTGGTTGAGGGCCTATGCTCCATTGGGGGATAGAAAGGCAGAAGAAGAAGAAAGGACCCTTTCCCACGCCTTCAAGCGTACTGTGCATACCTAGCTAGGCCTAGAACTTATAGATAATTTGGTACTTGGTGGGTGATGTGGTGCGATGTGGTCAGAATGACAATTCACCGCCTCCCAGGACTTGACAGACACTTAAAATAAAAAAATACTTCAAATAAAATACTTTCTACATCTCATCTCCACAAAAACCTACATATCTCAGCTCAGAAATGACACACAAGCCTAAATGAGGTACCGTTGGAAAGAGATTGTTTACAGCTATCTAACTGTGCTGGTTTTATTGGTGTAGAGTACCATGTAGAGGGCAGGGCATTTTAAAAATGTGACTAAACTTCTAAAATTCCGGCACTCTTCCGAATACCCGCCCCATATTATTCAAAGACAAAAAATCCCATTCAGGGCCTCAAGAGGTCGTTGTTAGGGTCTTGAGAGGTCATGTAGTTAAAAATATGAACACTACAAACTATGCTTTCTTTTATTATATAATTTCGTTTGAACGAAATTACCGAGTCTTCGCTAAAAATATGAACACTACAAACTATGCTTTCTTTTATTATATAATTTCGTTTGAACGAAATTACTGAGTCTTTGCTAGTATAGTTGATAAGCAGTCTGCTTGTTACGCCGGTGATCAGGGTTTGATTCTCCGGCGGGCCAAAACATTTATATCGCCTTTACTCGGTCTTGTGGTTAACAGCTAGGTTGCGATAGCTGCGGCAAATTTTTTTTTACTTGTGGTTAACAACTAGGCTGCGATATCTGCGCCTTTACTCGGTCTTGTGGTTAACAGCTAGGTTGCGATAGCGGCGGCAAATTTTTTACCATATTTTGTTGTTCCATATTTTGTATAACCTCTTTATAACCCCTTGACCTCTTTGTAACCTCTTGAACCCCTTGAGGCTCTAAAAGGAATGTTTTGGACAGTTAATAATATGAATATGGGGAAGAGTGCCAAAAATTCCATATACCTGAAATAATTTGTCGTCTGTGAGATGAGTATGAACATCTACCATGACGCAATGCTCATCCATCTGAATGCATATGTTGTGTTATATAAACTATAATAATAATAAATAATGACTGCAATGAACACTTGAATTATTTGGATTTTGTGTGGCGAAAGAGACTTGCATTGTAAATAAACAAACATTCAAACTTTCATAATGGGAGAGTTACATTACTACGGTTATTTTCGGTCGCTCATTTTCACGTCATTCATGTCAGTGGTTCTCAACTGTTGTCATACTGCGGACATTTTGTACGAGGGTCTTGTTAGTGATAGAAGGTGACGATTTCTTTATATTCACTGAGTTAATGGTAACATTATTTAACAGACAATTTATCAAGTTGGTGTATTAATTGTTTTAACAGACATATTTAGGACTTCTCCCACTTGATAAATAGGTGAGTACATCGTGTTTTGTGTGTGTGTGTGTGTGTTCTGTTTTTGTTTAAAGTTTAAAAATTTTAAAACTTTTTTGAAGGTGCACAAACAAAATAAATAAATTTAAAAAAAAAATATGCAAATGCTAAAGAATGGTGCTGAATTAAGAATCACTTGGGACCTAAAGTTTTAAATCGAAACATTTATAAGGAAATGAAAGGTTATACATAAGACATTGTACTTAGGAGGTAAGCTCCAAGTGAGCGTTTTAAAACAAAAAGAGAGCTTTAACTGACCAGACAAAATCTAAGTTAAGTCATGTAGTGCCTTCTTGTTTGTAACACTGTTTATTCATGTCATGTAATGATGAAAGCTACAAGTCATTATCTTCCGCCTCAGAACAGGGCACAACCGATTACGTAACCACATGTACACAAAATTCAAGATAGGTGTATCAGCCATGTGCACCTGTGGAAATGTGCCCCAGACCGCAGAGCATGTACTCCAGGACTGCACCGAATTTGACACATTAAGGCAAACCTTTTGGCCAGAAAGAACAACAGTGGAACGTAAACTCTATGGACCACTGAATGAACTAACAACGACAGTGAAATTTATACAAGAGACAAAACTGCTGATATAGATAACTTATTTCAGGCGAACGAAAGAAGAAGAAGAAGAATGATGAAAGCTCGGTCATGGACTAACTTTAACTCCATATCTCCCCCACCCCACCCCTTCCATTTTTTGTTCGCCTTACTATTTAACGTTACCGGGAACTCTCGGATTTCCCCGAGATAAGATGAACTAAAATAACAACAATAATGTGTTGCTAGCAGAGAGTGAGCAGGAGTTGTAAGACCTAGTGGAGTAAGTGAACAGAAGGAGTGCAGAATTTGGATTATATATAAATTTAAAAAATAAAAAAAAAATAATAATAAAAAAAAAAAACACCATGATATTAAGGAAAGAAAATAATCAGCTAACAATGAATAACTGAGTGAACTGGGTGAAATTGGAACAAGTTAAAAATGTCTTATATCTTGGACAAGTAATAACATGTGACGGCAGAAGTGAAACAGAAGTCAAGAAAAGAATAGGGGTGGCCAAAAACATTTTCAACAACATGCAAAAGTTACTGACATCAAGAGAAATAAGCAATACATTAAAAATGAGAATTGTCAAATGTTATTTATTCTCAACCTTACTGTATGGCACAGAGACATGGACAATGAACAAACAACTGGAAAATCGTATAAATTCTTTGGAGATGTGGATATACAGAAGAGTAGGTCGTATTTCATGGAAAGAAAAGCTATTAAATACAGAGGTACTGAGGAAATTGGGAATGAAAAGAGAGTTGCTAGGTGAAATAAAAAAGAGACAAGTGAAATATTTTGGCCACATTAAAAGACATAAAAGTATTGTAAAGATCATCCTAGAGGGAAAGGTTCAAGGTAGGCGAGCAAAAGGCAGACAGCGTTACAAGTGGGAGGATAACATCAAGAGATGGACGAACAGCAGTATGAGTGAGTGTACATCAAGGGCAAGAGACAGGGCTTGTTGGAGATCCATTGCAGCCAACCTTCATTGTTGAGAAGGCACCTGATTGATTGATTGAAAATAACAAACTTTGTGCCTTTTTGGACATCCGAGCCACGTTGCTATTACAGATCGACGCCAGACAAAAGGTGTTTCTTCCCTCTGAGGACGAAATTTTTTGTTATTTGAAGCCCCACTCTGGCTTTTGCCAGGGGCCGCAATATAGACAGGCCATAAATATGGCCAATTGTCTGAACGCGGTTTCTGGGACCTCTCCACGGCGATCCTCATCTACATGGTGGCACTTTGTGTCATCGGGTGTTTATCGCTTGTGTGATGTCCTAGTGGGGTAGAAAATCAGCCTCACAATCGGGTCTGTCATAGGACCCCCCATCCCCAGGCCAATCGCTTAAGAAGATGTATGCAGATTTGGTACACGTGGCGGATGACGTCACGGACGGGCAAATCTGCTTTAGAAGACGCTAAGACCCTGCTGTACGCATCTAATCAGCAATTTAGGTGGCCGGGATTTTACAATTTCAAACCTTAGTTGGCAATACAAATTCAATTAAACTCTTGTTAATTTAGTAAGTAGTTAGAATGAAGGAGTAAATGAAAAAAATCAAAAAACAAAGAAAGAAGAAAGAAGACAGGAAGGAAGCGCAAAAAAAAAAAAAAAAAAAACGGACAAAAACCTCAGATCCGCATACAAATCAGGAGAGAAGACATAGATAGCAAAGCTCTGTGACAAGCGCGCTCGCCCACACATGCATATATACATATATATATATATATACATATTTAGTGTTTGACATCATCGGAGATTTAATGGCTTTTAAAAGTAAAGGCTTCCTCTGTTGCCCCGGTTTCTACATCTCATCATCATCATCATGTGCCCTGCCAACTGGCGTAGGCCCTCATGCGTCTCCACAGATCACGATCCCTGGTTGCCTGGAACAGCTCCTTTCTTGATGATATCCCTCCATGCCATTGTTTCAGCCCATCCAGCATCATCATCTCTTAGTCTGCTTCTACCCCTTTTTTCCACTGATTCTTCCTGTTGTCACGATGTTCTCCAATGTCTCTCTTCTCATTATGTGGCCAAAAAACAGTTTCTTTTTCTTATTGTTGTATATAGAATCCTACTTTCATTAGCTTCTTTCAAGCAATCGTTGTTAGTTACACTGGCCGTCCAACGTATTCATTACATTCGTCTCAGAAACCACATCTGTGTTGCTTCCAAATTCTTTCTAATTTGTTCACTGACATTCCAAGATTCGCTGCCATACACCAGAACAGGTGTTATGTAACATTTTAGCACCCTCTTTTTCTACATCTGCGTTCTCATTTAAACGTTGGTTGGGCGTTTGTGTTGCCGTTTACAGCTACGCTGCGAAAACTTCGCCCTTCGGCCGAACACGTCTGATTTCAGCAAGATCTTATAGTCGCTTTGCGTGCCCGTTTGTTTTCAACGCGTGGCAGTTTGTTTCTTCTTTATGACAATGCACCAGCTCAAAGATGAAAAATTGTATGAAAGGAGCGGAGTGGAAGGGCAGAATGTTAGGCGGGCCTGCGTGCCCAATTCTTAACCCTTTGAAAATAAAGTTTGTTCGTTCGTAGTTGTACAGGAAATATTTGCCTAAAAGTGCATATTCTTAACCATCCACCCTATTCTCCCAGCTTTGTCTTCCTGTTACTATTTTCTATTCCCAAAATTAAAGTTGCCTTTTAAAGGACGCTTCTTTGACGATATTGGTGACATCCTTTGGGTCCTAACGTCGACTTTAGGGGCCATAACAAAAGAAGAACTACAGTCATTCCAGTGTTTGTTAGATTGTGCCACTTGCTGTATTGATGCACAAGGGTCTTACTTTGAATAAAATACAGGTTATATCTTCAGCTGTTGATTATTTTAACTTTTATGAAATTAGTCTCATTACTTAATTGTCGGAGCTTGTATGTGTGTGTGTGTGTGTGTGTGTGTGTGTGTGTGTGTGTATAAGTATTTTTTCCCTTATTCACGCGTGGAAGTTAACCACGGACGGTCAACAGGTTAGTTGCGTATCCTTTACAGGACGTTGCAGAACCAACCCCAACAGCCCCTGGCTGTTGTGTGGTTTTTCTAGCAAATTTACGTCCAGTAGTTTGCCATTGCTTGAGAAATTAAACTACATTTCGTCCCCTTGTGGCCATAACGGCTGAAAAGGGTTTCTGGGACCTATCCACTGGTGACCCTCGTCCGCATGAAAGCATTTTGTGTCACCGGGTGTTTATCGCTTGTGTGATGTCCTGGTGTGGTACAATAAGCAAGCAAGCAAGAAATTAAATAGCAGCAGCAGAAATTTGATTTTGTAAAAATAAAAAAAATAAAAAAGAACAAGAAAAAAAAAAATACCGTAAGAACACACAAGTTAGATAGTAAGTCGATCAGATCGTCCTCATTGCACATGATTTGATTTGATTTGATTTGATTCAAGAACCGACATCACAACACTCGGGGCATTCCAATAAGCGCTCCGTCCCCATTTTCAGAAGCCAGCGAAGAGTTTCGATACTAATGGTGCCAGTAGCATTCTGATTAAACGTCCGTCTTGCCTTTTCTCTGAGCCTCGAGCATCTGCCAGAACCTCTCGTCCCTCTCCCTGCATCACTCTCACCAGACTGTGGTGATCCATCTGCTCCTCCGAACTGTACACGCTCTCCCACAAGGCACTAACCAGATCTGCCTTATCATGTATCACTATTCCACCAAGTTGTGCAGAGCCAGCCAGTCTGTCAACCTCTTCATTTCCCAACACACCGGCGTGTCTCGGTGAAAAAATCCAGACCATACTCCTAACCCGTGTCCTCTGCAGCGAAGCATGCCACCCTGCACGAAGCATACCTGTCCTGAAGAGAAAAAAAAAATGCCGGAGAACACAAGTTAGTCCACAGATCGTCCTCCTCCTCATTGCACATCGAACCATCAAGTCTATAAGTGTTCGGTCTTCCTCGGAAAATCCCGAAGGGTATAGCGATTAAGGAAAGTAGTTATTTGTTAGCTTTTTTTCTTCTTCTTTGGCTTTCTGCATAGTCTTCTTGTTTGGCCGTTCTTTAGATACAACC